CAGGCTTCTTGACACCTCGGTTTTGCAGTTACTCATTTATACGTCACTATTTCAGAACAGTTGGAAGTTACTAACAAGGATAGGAGACTCGCTAAGCATTTTGGGCGTTTGACACTTGACCGCCGCCACCACCAGGCGAGAGTCCCATGAATTGGAAAACAGCATCAACGATAAACGCGATAATTGAAAAGAAGCCAAAAACCTAAAAAAAAGAAAAATGTTAGTGAAATTAAGAATGCTCCCTTTTCGAATTCTCTGTTCTACAGGGCTAGCGTCGATTTTGTATGGAATTACTTTTGAATATTCGTCCGGTCGAATTTCAAAGTGTTTGTATTGTTGAAGTTGTGCATTCTTTACTTTACCATTGGTATTTGTGAATATTTGGACACTGATACGAGGCTAAGCCTGTGTGAATGAGTCTGTGATCAAGGAACACAGCGGTAATTTGGAACTCGAAAAATGGTCTGTTAAGAATTCTCGACTTTCACATCCCCATAATCCTTTGCGTCTTTGGGGGGTAACCAGAGGGTAAAAACCCACTTATTTTGCTGAAGGCCGATCAGACAATGTTGAAAATACCTTGTTTGGTATCCAATGATAAAATGAAGAATAAAAACAGAAAAAGATAGAAGCTTGAAGACGTTTAAGGTAAATTTCAAGCATTTTTTGGTAAGTCAATACATTTTCTGTAAGACCAAAACTCTTCATAATCTGTACACTCAAAAATAACTTGGAATAAACTGATAATCAGTATTGTACAGATAAACGCAGGTATAGTATAAATTCAATTAAGAAACCTTTCAATTTGGGACAGTTTTTTGATTGGTTGCACCCCAAAAACGCAAGGCATTATGGGAATGTGAAAGTCGAGAATAGAGGTTTTGCACCACCACGTGACGGCAGCCATGTTAGATGGCAGGAACAATACAATCGTTTTACATGAGAAAGAATTCAATTCCCAAGAGCAAAGGGATTTTATTGTTCTGCCATCTAACCACAGGCAGCCCAAGCTGTATTATGGACGTGGGCACGTCGTGAATCCACACTACTTKGACAATGTGCTGCAATTTATCGTCAATGAGATGACGGACACATAAAAAACTGATGGCAAATTGTTAATTTTTCTTTCCATTTTRATGGACACCAAGAACGAAAGATTTATTTGTCGCTCAATCCAACATGGCGGTCATCACTTGACCAAATCACGTGCCCACATAAAATCACGTGACATAAAATCGTATTTGTAACCCAGAAGAATGGATGAGCAAAAAAAAAAAAAAACTGGTCATTTTTCATAACCAATGACGCTTTGGTTTTAAAACATAATCTCAAACACTAGCAACAAAAAGGATTTTTTCTTTCGCGGGTTTCGTACTCACAACTGCAGCCGTCATTGTGTTCCAAATTTGCGCGTAATAGTGGTCGTAGTAAGCGTATTTTTTCCAATAGCTGAGGKAGTCTGCACGCTCAGCCATCAGGGAACTACAAATGAGCAACAGGACAGCGAAGACGATGCTTGTAATCAGGTTCTGAAGAAAACGATAAAAAAGGCGTTATTAATAAATCTTAGATAGTACGCGTGCTCTAATTGGTCGAGAACTGTRCCGTTTTTGTAGTCACCTGACTCTTGACCTATAGGAGTAGTTGTTAAATACTGGAATGTAATCTTACCGCTAATTTCCAGTTGACCTGCGGGACKTTTKCTGTAAGGCTTAAGAARAAGAACACGAAGAGAGCTATGACTATCAGCCAACCAATGACAGTGACGGCAAGGAAGAAGGATGTTCTGCCGYCACTGTGGTARWATCGAGAGTGACAGCAGTCAGACATGCAGGAAAATGCCAACAGTAGAAGAAACTAAAGAAATGAGGACAGCTAACTGTTAGTGTGAGATACAGTCGATTCAAACAACGTTGTCGTCGACCGGCTCAAGCCTACGCGACTGGACCGTAAGGAATAGGGGTAAAAATCACTGGAGCGGTTAAATATTTGTTCTGAATTCATCGTCCCGCGAGCAGTAAAGATAATAATGGCGGGCAATAACCAATTAAATGCATGGCTTTTAAGCGAAAGAAAAACAAAGTAGGTATGATTTAGTTATCAATTTCGAAAATGTGAAGGCATTGAAAAAAACAAAAACGAAAAAAACAACAAAAAACCAAAAAAAACCGTGTTTTTCGCACTTCCCGCTCGAGCTCGTCCTGTAAACCCGAAACATAGTCAATCAGATGAAACTATATATACAGTCAAATCGCTTCAGAGATTCTACCCAGAGTCCCTTTCGGTCCAGTCGCGTAGGCTGGTCGACGACAACGTTTTTTGAATTGACTGTATAAGTTTGTAATATTGCCACTGCCCTGCCGCTATGCATGATCAATGAGTTTCACACTACAATTATATGCTAGAGTAATATTTAGTCTCGTTTCGGGATTTTCGCTCTGACTCGAGAGTCTTTAAGCGATTTAGGCTGCGTTCATAATGTATGGCAGAGGGGGTGGGGGGTGCAGGTAAAAATTTGAAATGTCCAGAATAATTCTTAACATCCCCCTTAAAGTCATGCAAAACAATACGATCCCCCCCTAAGCAAGGCTTCTATTTTCTTCCAAAAATTGTGCATCCCCCCATTTTTCTGAT